ATCTTAAGGAACTTGAGTTAAGCAGTGATGTCTCTCATTTTCAAAATGTGCTCACGCATATTCTTAGAGTGTTTGAATGTTTTACTTGAAAGCCTCTTCATCAAGGTGTCGACCAAAGCTTTATCTGAGCTAACAAATTGTTTCTCAATGACTTTCAAGTAATCTTTAGCCTTAGGGCAATCAGGAACAGAGTCTCGGATGTTCTTACTGACACAAGACTTAATATGCATCAAACTTAATCGGTTTGATCTTTTCCACCATTGACACATTTGTTTCTCATGTAGCGTATTTTCCTCCAAGAGATTAGGTGGTTGATCCACACGAAGCACCAAGTCTAGATCCAAGCACCCTAATAAGAAAATTTATTTCTAATATTATTTTTAATATTTTATTTTGATGAACTCAATGCAATAACAACTTCCCTATGGCAAGGTCATTATTTCTTTGAATTAATTACAACTTAGATGTCATTAAAACTTAATAAAGCATGTTAATCTTTATTTTGATATCCTTATGACCTAAGGTACTATGACTACTCTTACGCCTCGTTTGGTACGCAGAAATGGAGTCAAGTGAGAATGGAAAGAATGTAGGAATGGAATAGAATAAATGTGGGAATGGAATGCACATTCTCATTCTCATGTTTGAGTGTGTTTAGAGAATGAAATGAGAATGACAATCTTATTCTCATTCCCACGTTTGGTATGATTTATTCACAAGTGAGAATAAAATTTAGTTTTCTAATAATGCCCTTACCAAAACACAGAATTTTAAAAAAAATTAAAAATATTTTAAAATGACTAAATAATTCATTTTTTAGAAAAATAAGTTTTATAGAAATGATATTATTTCCTTAGAGAAATAAATTTTCATGTATTAGTTTAAAATTAATATAAACGATAATATCTATAGTTTAAATGAATTATGCATAAACTATCACATTCGATAAATTATTAGAAATATCCAAATTCTAATCAAAATATCCATAAAATAGTACGAGCAAAATAATTGGACAACCATCAAAGTATCAAAATATTAATTTTTGAAATTACAAAATGATAAACTAGTCTATAACTCCAAAGTTCCACCTAATACTCCCCGCTGTATCGCCTCACTCATGTCTCCTTTAGATTATCACCAATTATGAAAATCAAATCTAGCAAATTTCGGTTAGCACCAATCGTCCCTATTGCTGTAAAGCACTGATCCATAGTTAAATTTCAAATCTAGCAAATTTCGGTTAGCACCAATCGTCCCTATTGCTGTAAAGCACTGATCCATAGTTAAATTCATTTTCATTACTTGTTCAGTAAACCTTTGTCGTCCCTATTGCTGTAAAGCACTGATCCATAGTTAAATTCATTTTCATTACTTGTTCAGTAAACCTTTGTCTCTTCTCATATAAACTCACTTCATCTAAACCATCATTGATCAATTGGCTTGATTTAACAAACTCACTTCCAATACATGCACTAGTTTCCCTCATGATCTCTCCTAATGAATTGATATCTCCAGATAACCGTCTCTTTATTTTTCACTTCAAGGAGAAATCACTCATGCACCCTGTTATTGCATCCTGTGAAGGTGAGTCAATATCAATAAAATCTTCTCTGATAGTCTCTTGACTAACCTCTTTATCCAATTCCTCTATAACATCAGTAGAATGTCCCACTCCTTTTCCTGTTGCCCTATCCTTTCCGAACACAATAGCCAGAGTTTCATAGTATGGAAAAGATTTCTCTCTGAAAGGTATTGCATTTTTGTGGGCCTATATTAAAAGATTAAAAAAATCAGCAGTCATTAATTAAAAAATATGTCAAATGTAAAAATAATCATGTGATAAATTAAAATTTAATAATAAAATATCTATAAATATTCATCTCAAACTTCTTTTTTAGCAGTCACACATTGCTTACTTGCGTCCCATCCAAAGCCACTACAATTAAGCATATCAAACACAATGCTAAATTGTATCTTAAGCGTCTTCATCCTTGATCTAATGTGAGAATCAGCCTTAAACCCTGAATTTGGTAGTGACTCAGAAAGTAATCTTTCAACAACATTGTAGTGTCTAGGCTTGAATCCACGACCATCATTATACTTTCCAGTGTTATGTAAATCCAACAACGTGTCAACCAAATTTTGATCTTCTGTAGTAGTCCATATGTGCTTATTCCTTCTATGGCCTTGTTGGTCTTCTTGATCCATTCCTAAACAATTATATTACTTATTTATCGGTCATCACATCTCTACTTTTCTTGTAATATATATAAATTTTTCCTGAAGCATTAACCTCTAGAGCATAACAACATCATATGACAATAAATCACTATAGTGTTAAAAAAACATAACAATAGATCTATATTAGAAATTATATTACATATAATAATAAATAAATCCATGTAAATACCAATTATCATTATCCAAGAGTAGTAAGCTTTTCAACATGAGCATGAGTCAATTGCTAGTAACTCAATTATTTCACAAAGGAAAAAAAGTATTGTTTCCATGATTAAACTTTGTACATGAAAACGAAAAAAACATATGACAAACATAAAAACCAAACCATTATTGTTGCCCTATCCACTGGTTATACATAGAATCTACAAGGTTATCTCGCCACGAAGTTCAATCAGAAGTAGTTTTAGTTGTCGTGATTGGATCATTAGCATTGACAATTTGAGTTGTTTCCTCCAAAATATCAAGACACTCTTCAAATGGATCAACCTCCATCTCCCTCCTTATATAATTATGAAGGAGACTACATGCCATAATTATTCGATTTTGTATCTTGATAGGGTAAAATGAAGGACTACGTAGGATCGCCCATCTTAATTTAAGCAACCCGAAACATCACTCGATAACATTTCTAGCAGATGCATGTTTCATATTAAAAAACACTTGTGTAGTTGTCGGTTGGTATCCGTCTCTCCATTCATTCAAGTGATAACGTTAGCCTCTATATGGTGCAAGAAAACCATCACAATTTGTGTATCCCGCATCAACAAGATATTAGTAACCTATGGTTGAACATATCAATTATCTAAATATTAGTGAATTTGAAAGTTGCTAAAAGCAAATATTGTACAAATTATTGTTGGATTTTTTTGGTCAAAACCGCTTTCCAAAATGAGTTTTCAAACTATATATATATTAACTACAAGTGCTTTTCATAAAAGCTTAGTAGCCTAGTGGAAAGTTAAAGTTTTGATATTTCAAAAGGTCTTCTATTCGAGGCTTGCCAATGGTAAGCCAAGAAGTATTTATTTTAATTAATCCCTCATAAGTTTTAGTGGATCGTGGGCCATGGTCTGTTGGCCATGGGCCGTGAGCTCGTGGGTCGTGGGCCAATGGGTCAGGGATCAGGGCTAATCGGGCTGAGGTGCTATGTGGCGCTTTGTTAGGCGCACTTTACACTTCACATGGATGCATCGGGCCGAGGTGGCGCTCTTTGGCACCACGTTAGCTACCATGAAGGTTGCTTCACATGCTACGGATGAGCTACGCATTCGTACGAGGGTGTGACCCTAGCGTTCTCGTAATCAGATGAGGTTCGCCTGTTTGACGAGGTTCGCTCGTTCGATGAGGTTCTTCTGTTTGACTAGGTTCGCTCGTTCGACGAGGTTCGCCTGTTTGATGAGGTTTGCCTGTTTGATGAGGTTCGCCTGTTTGACGAGGTTCATTCGTTCGACGAGGTCTGCCTGTTTGACGAGGTTCACCCGTTCGACGAGGTTCGTCCTACATACGATGCTCGTCTGATTTACTGAGACGTGACCCTCGCGTTTTGTAGTAACATGTCCATTGATTACCTCGTATTCAGGAGTTACTGCATGCAGCAGTTACGACAATATTTACATCAATTTGATGGATTATTATTATAATCATAATTGCCATTATGATTTGAAACAGCCACATTAATTGAGGATGACTCTTGAGCTGACCTTAGAGGCCTATAAATAGAGCTCCTTGGGCAGCTCTTGGTGAGAACAGGGAAAAACGAATATCAGGTCAAGGAGATCTTGACGTTGTTGCTGCTGTTGTGTTGCTGTTGCAGAAATTATGCCCAAAAGAACTTGCCCTAAAACCGAAAGGTTCTGAGATCGAGGTGACCTTTGCCTTGACTGAAAGGTCTTTTAGATCGAGGAGATCTTGATAGTACTAGGTTGGTGCACACCAGAGTACTGTACTACTATTTTTAAAAGCAGTTTGGCCTTGGGATCCTTACACCGGAGTAGGCCAAATATTATTTTAAGCATAGTGTTTCATAAATGCACAATAGTTAATTAAAAAATTAAAATTACAGCACATCAACCTTTACTGTTTTATTCCATATTTAACCACAATCTCCAACAATTATAACTTACTTACCACGAGGGATTTTTAATCCATTTTTTCTGGTTATTGCTTCTCAAAGTACTCTACTATCATCCGCTGACCCTTCCCACCCAGGTAGTATGTATATAAATTGCATGTTTTGAGAACATACACCCAAGACATTTGTTGCAATTTCACCTTTTCGTGTCCTATACCTAGATTTGTTCTCCACTGCTGCTCTCACTCTTATAGAAGTCCTATCTAAAGCTTCAAGACAATTCTAAATATAAATAAAAAGTATTATGTTAGATTATTTACAAAAACTAAGAAATAAAAATAAAAAAATTATAAGTTACCTTGAACCATTTCCACATCGTGTCTGTTGAGTCTATCGGGCCTCGATTGGGTTTTTGGATTCAAACATCATGCATACATATTACAATATGTAGCACATGAGTAAAATGCCCAGGGGCGGATCCAAGATTTTAGTTCTGGGGGGCCGTATACAAAAGATAGACGAAAAATTTTCTTAATATAATTTTATTCACAAGAGATACACCACAACCCAAATAAAATGAGTAGAATAGCCAACATTAATATCTCCAAAATATTTTAAAAGAGGAGACAAAAATTATGTTAAAAATATTCAAATAAGCATCATCTAATTTTTTATAACTAAAACTTTTCTAACTAAAAGGAATTCGACGTTCCTTAAAATTTTCAAAGTCTTCAATGATAACATCAATGCTCAGACTTTTAGCAATTTCTCTTTCAATAAACACCATTAATGCGTCTAAGAGGAAAGGATCCTCCATTTTGCTTCGAAGCCTAGTCTTGACGATATTCATAGCTGAGAATGATCGTTCTGAAGTAGCAGTAGAAACTGGAAGAGTAAGCACAGGCACAATCACTCTAAAAATGAGGTCATATGTAGCAGATTTATTAGTCTTTACAACCATTGACACAACTCAGAAATAGTTGAAAGAGTTTTGAAGTCTGACCCTTTGACTACATTATGCTCATAATGTTTTAGTTGCATCTTCAAGCTCTCTTTTTCTTCACTTGTAAAATCTTGTGCATAAAACTTGTCAACCAATTTGCATATATCTAGTATTCTCAAAGCCTCTGATGCATTTTGAGGATTTAAGACAGAACTAAGCATAAGCAACTCCGTCGCATCTTCACTAAAACGCACATTAATTTCTTGCATTTGTGAATCGATCGCGGCATAAAAGAAGTCTACTCGATAATGATGTCCAATGGTTATGTCTTGATGACCACGAGCTCGACGCCGCCTATCAACATACTGAGCACTAAAATTAGGAATATTAATGTTACGAGCCACACAAAAAGACTTTACTTTTTCAAGCAAATTATCACACTTGTCATCCCTTAACTCTTGTAGTAATCTTTTTATAGATGACACAAGCTCCATTGCATTCGAAATGTCTTGAGACTTACTTTGTAAATTCTGGCAAAGAAAATCTGTGATGCCCATAATCTCGCTCATTAGATGCAAGATAAACACAAAATCAAACGAAGTCATTTCATCATAAACAGATGTTGCATCGGCTCGTTGGGAAGGAAACCCATCCTCCATAACTTTGAGCAATACCGTACATGTTGCACTGAACATCCTAATCAAAATCGACAATGATCTAAAATGAGAACTCCAACGCGTATCAGCAGCTGGTTGTAAAGTGGCAATTTAATTAAGTCCAGGTCCCGTCTCGAGTTCATTAATAGAAGTCAAATGGGCAATGCCATCCGCGTGAGCTTTCTTCAATTCATCATTACGCTTGTAAGAAGCACCAACCATATTTACTATAGAAATTAATTTGTCAAAAAACATAGGAACGGGAGTCAGATTTTTTGCTGCCGCAACAAGAGCCAACTGTAGCCAATGAGCAAAGCAATGAACATAGTAAGCATCCTTACAATCTTTCATAATCAAAGCTTACAATCCAATGAATTCACCCCTCATATTACTGGCTTCATCGTAACCTTGACCTCTAATATTTTGAACATCCAAATTGTAATGAGCCAAAGCAGAATATATAGCATTCTTTAAAGTCAAAGCTGCAGTATCGGAAACATATAAACAAGCCCAAAAAACGTTCTTGAATGAATCCATTGGTGTCCACAAACCGCAACACAATAGACATTTGCTCTTTTTTTGACTCATCACGGGCTTCATCAACAATGATGCAATACTTGGCGCAACACAATAGACATTTGCTCTTTTTTTGACTCATCACGGGCTTCATCAACAATGATGCAATACTTGGCAACTCCAATTTCTTCACGAATTGCATTTTTACTCATCACGGGCTTCATCAACAATGATGCAATACTTGGCAACTCCAATTTCTTCACGAATTGCATTTTTTACTCTCACTGAAAACACATGAAGTATTTGTTTTTGAATATCATGACTTGTATATTTGGTATTTTTTGGAGCTTTTGCAATTGCCTTTGAAAGTTCGTTATTCTCCATGGCCAGCACATCCGAAAATTCAAGAAAATTGCCACGATTGGACAAACCAGATTTCTCATCGTGGCCTCTAAATGGAATCCCTTGGACAATTGCACCACAAGTATGTGAGCTCTTAACCGAAGACGATTAGTTGCAACTTGTCCAGCATTAAAGTTGTCGAATCGCCTTGATATATGTTGCGGTTGGTTCATCAAATCCTCACATGCCTTTTAGGCATTACGATGGAGTGAAGATACATTATCTTTTCCTATGTAGCCTAGGAAAGAACATGCTTTTCCGCTTCAAACTTTCTTCCAACTATCAAAACCATCAACAACAAAAGCAGTTTGATTTTGCATCCCGGTGGCTTGTTGAAGAGAAAACATGGAAATCAATATGCTTTATCTTTAGCCGGTGAATACTCCAACCAATGAAATAGCTCATACTAAGTAAATTGAAATCTTCGAGGATGCTTAATATCCTTATTTAATGGATAATCTTGAAGAATAGGTTGATATGCCTTTAGATTCAAATAAGCTCGACGAATCTCCTCCCGTTGGTCAAGAGGGTATTCCCATATTTGTCAACGCAAGACTGGATCATACTCTAAGGAATTAAGATCAACTTCTTCGCCGTCTGGATTTCTAAACCTTTTAGGAGGATTTTCAGATGGAAGATCATTATCATTTGAGGCTAGTGAAGGGGTTATAGGAGCAGCAAGACCAAATTCACTTCCTCTCTTCCTTTGGAAAAACTTATCAATTGTAACAGATTTTCCCATTTTATTTTAAATTTAATCACGGACTTGTGAAGTTCAAGTAAAGAATTTCAATCACATATGAATAGATCGAAAAGAAACAATCCCCAATTAATTCTCAAGGCATAGTATCTACAAATAATAACTTAAAAGTGAGAACTTTATCACCTAATAATCATCAATCAAACATTTTTTACACCAATTTATGATTTTGATTGATCATCAAATGATTAATGATAGAAATTTTAGATTTTTCCAAAAATTAAATCCAAACTATAGCAGAATCCATCGCTAGAATTCCTAAAAAATCAATTGAAATTGGGGGAAAAGAGCACGAAATCAAATCAATGGAAGAGAATGTTAGATAAGATAGTTACCAGAGATTTAACTTGGGTCTGACCACTAATCACTTTGCTGAACACAAGCTTGTTGGCCTCAAATTTGTTGTGCTCGCTCACGGCTCACCGCAAACCCAGCAATCTCACCAAAACGCAGATCACTCGTGTCCTCTATCTGGCTCCAAAATCTCGATCTTGAACTTTCCCTAACCAGAAATCAAGACTTGAAGCAAAGCAAAGAATCTGCAAAATCAAGACTTGAAGGAAAGCAAACCAAAATCTCGATCTTGAACTCTCGAAAATCAAGACTTAAATCAAAGCAAAGAATCTGCAAAAATGAGAAAAGATGCGAAAAAATAAGCAAGAGATAAGAGGTAATGGAGAGAATCAAGCCCTATAACGAATCCCTAACCAATTTTTTGAAAAAAAATGATTTTTCCCTAAAAGATCAGTGTGGAGACTGGAGAGATAAGAGGTAATAGAGAATTAAATTTCAATATTTCATAGTGATCTTGAGAGAGATAAGAGGTAATAGAGAATTAAATTTTAATATTTCATAGTGATCTTGAGAGCTGAGACTTTCCTAATTTTTTTAGACGATTTTGAAGAGATCCGAATACACAAATAGAGCTTTGATAAAAAAAACTCACCTCATGGAGAAAAGCCCCAAATTTTACCATGAAAGAAGAGGTAATAGAGTGCCCTAGATTGTAGACGGTAAAAAATACCTCTATGGGTTTACAAGAAATTCGCCTACGAGAAGAGCTCGCACACTCAGTCCTCTAGCACGGGTCTAAACCGCGTAGACGTCGAGTATACTCGGTTCCAGGTTCGCCTAACGGTCAGTTCGCCAGCACGGGTTAAGATCGATCAGGATGACGAAAGCTCACCTTTCACTCAACTCGCCTGCCCGAGTTCAGAGTCGAATCCGCCAGCAAGCCCTAAGACCGTCAGTACAGCTGGGTATCCGCTACCCCACGTGCTGAGATGGGCCTTCCCATCCCTCTCTCTCAAGGGAGAGAGCACAGTACCCCAAGACCGTCAAACGGTCGCTCGCAGTACGCACAGCGTGAAGGACTGGACAGGTGTCGAGTCAACCTGAGCATTCATAAATGCGACTCACCTCGGCTGTCTGAGTCAAGAGCTGGATCCGCCGGCACTCGGCAAGTTGGCTAGACCCACTCGAGTACTGTGCACCTACTTCGCCGCCTCTCCTGACCGGAAAGGAGAAAGCACCGTGCCCAAAGCACGCCGGACGGTCACGCACAGTACGAGTGATCGGACAGACGCCTCATCACTCTGCGAACTCATAAATGCGGTTCATTAATGCTGGTCAAGTCCATTCGGATAACAGCCGGTCGTTGCCTCATATACAAGGAGGGGCCTTCCCATTCTAGGTGACAGGACATAAAGCACAATCTCTCGAATGATCATTCATGGTATCGAGGAGCAGCTAGACGTCTCTGAAGAAGATGTGGTCACATCCCATAATTCAAGGATGAGTCAAGCTGTCCCTCTTTCATTTAAAAGCCCCTTCCAGCACACTGGAGGAGAGGTCGCAGACTTAGAGAAAAGAGTTGAGACCAAGCTCTCTGCATAATATTTGCATTGCAGCATCACTGTTTAGTTCCGAGCTCCGATCGCCGGCGGACTAAGCAAACCCGAACTCCCTCGAGTTGAGCCTCTACTGCGAACTAAAGCTCTCCAGCAACCTCGATCGAACGGTCCAAGGGAAGCAAACTCGACACGAGCATCGAGCGAAGCGTCCTATAGCCACCTAAAGTCCCCACACAAAACAAAGAGGGCATTCCCTCTGCTTCTGTTGTAATCATTTGATTATTAGTTTGTAATAAGCTTTCTTATAAATACAAACGAAACCCCCTTTTTCTCGGGAAATCAAATTTACACCATACAAACCCTCAGGACTTCCAGGACATTAATGAAGAGATTGTTGTAGCATGTCTACAAGATGAATTCACTCCGGCACAAACCGCAATGCCACAACCCACGGTGACGTTCTCCCCGTTGGGAGAACTAACCAACAGCGACGGCAAACACCCGTCAGACAGGAGGTCCAAACCTCCATTTCTCACGACGGCCTGAACCATCATACAGGCCCGAGAAACTCTAAACGAGAAGGCAAACTGCCCGACGTCGGAAGGCCCTCCAAATCAGGGGCGCCAACCGAGGACGGCAGAGCCATCCGCTCAGGAGGACTTCGCTTCTCAGGTCATATCCCTGATGCGAATAAACCACACCGAGTGTACGAGCCTACCCGAGTAGGCGAATCCTCGAAGGCTGGCGAGCCTCGTCATAACCATTTGACGGATAAACGTAAAGGTAGAGAAGTAGGCGAGTCCTCGCGAACCCGTTCTTCCAGGCGAAGGGGTGAAACCCGCCCACGTACTGGAGCTCGCTCAAACGCGAAGACTCGCCAGTCAAGGCGAGATCGCCCGACTCCAGCACCAAAGCATTCCACCCAACGCGCACCAGAGAGAGCTCCCAAAAATCTCTCGTCGGCTCACCAGAGCGACTCTTCTGAGGCTGGGGGTTGTCACCAACCACCCGTAGAAGACCTCAGAGAATTCTTGACTCGCAAACGCACTATTCGTGAGGCTCCCGTCAAAGGCGCCGTCACCAAAAAAGACGCGCTGCCGATGACTTGGAACTCTCATCCGCCACGGTTAACATGACGGATAAAGGGAAGGCAGTACTCTCCGACTCGCCAGACTCGGATTCCGCCCTAAGACCTAACACTCGGTCCGCTCGACGCCGGCAGGAAGGCATATTCCAGCGAACCCGTAGTCGCCGGGGGGTAAGTATTGGGTTTGACTATTCCAACCTAATACCTCCCTCCTGCGGCGAAGATGAGGACCATTCGGCCGCTGCCACATCTCAGACCTCGCGCTCAAGCCAAGACGCGCAGGCGAGGGCACACATGACCGATACCAACCACGAGCAGACAATGGCTCAAAAGTTGGAGGAACAGCAGGCGACCATCGACTCTCTAAGAGAGATGATGGAACAAC